AAGGCATATTAAAAACGCGCTTTATAGCTGGAAAAGATTTGCTTCTCCAAAACTGTTTTTACTCTTTTATTGAATTTATAAACTTTTAATTTGTTAGTCTGGGTATTTAACTTAATATTTTTAATAATTTTAATATATTTTAATATTTTTAATAATTTTTAGTGTAAACTCGAGATCTTGACGTTTTCCATATCATTGCAATGATCTTATGGCAATAAAATTATTATTATTATTAATGTTATTACTAGTATTATTATTATTATTTGTTTATTTGCAAAAAAGTTTATCGTTACAAAGTACTGATTGACCTTTTGATTTTGCGCCCCCAAAATGTTGCGCCTGCGTGCGTGCACGCACTGCACGCTCGCCAGGAACGGCCCTGTAGGTACCTATTATATATAATAAATCAACAAAATTTGTTGAAATAAAACTATTACATAATAAATAAAACTATTACATAATATATTATATCCTGGACTTTAATTTCCACAAACCTATCCTTGTAGAAAATTTCATTGATTGACTTTGATTGAAGGTATGCAACCAAGAACACGAAAATAACGCGCGCTTGATTTTTCTACGCCGGCTAGACAAAAAACATTTAATTTAATATTGCATTATTTTTTATGAGGAGTAATATAATTTAAAATAATTAATTTTGATACCACTAATTTGAGGAAAGGGCTCTGACAATCTGGCAACACTGAAAAGGTTAAAGATAAGAGCAGAGTTAAAGATAAGAGTCGCCATTGGCCAAGATTTAATTTTTTTGTTTTGTTTTTCAGATAATTATTTTGTGAAATTTGTGTAATTTTAATTTTGTGATGTGAAATTTTTTTTGTGGATAAAAAATTTATATTAGGTATATGTTAAAAAAATTAATTAGAAAATATAGAAGAATACAAAATATATAGAACATATTTTATTTAATCAAAATAAAAAAATGTTATTGATTAAACATTACCTATATTAAATAGAAGGCCTGGCAACGCGAACATTATAATATTATTGTGAGTACGTAAATTTTGAGGTTAACATGTTAACCTTAAAATCTACGTAGTATGTAATGTTTGAATTTTTGTAAACATGTTTGTAAACATGTTGCTAAGAGGATGTATTTCTATAGATACAATATTGACCCATTAAAATCTTTATTTTTATAGAAATAAAACTAAAAACTTAAAGTACACTATTGGATCTCATATAATTAAAAAAAACAGTGTATTTTATAAAATATCTGGTAGATACACGCCACTAATGGAAGATTAATTTTTTTCACAGTAAATAAATAAAATCTCATGGAAGAAGACGAGGTACATTTATTTGACGACTTTGTCACTGAAGACAGTATTTACCTCATAGAGTCTGAGGATGTAGAACAGGAAAACCAATCTCTTTTGGACACACTAATTACCTTTGAAAAAGCACAAGGTTCTGTTGAACCAAACAATATTGAAGAAAATAATAATAAGGAATGTAGAAAAGATTGTCAGGTGGAGTAAGTATTTCTGTACCCCAGAGCCAAACTGTACACTTTTTTAAAATGATGTATCAAAAACCATGGTTTTTGATACATCATTTTTACCATTGAAAAAATTCAGTACCTACTCATTCACCCAACATCATATAAATTCAATTTAAGGACTGTAGTGGAAGAAAGTTATAATGAAAATCAATTAACTGACTCAGATATTAATGATAAGGATTCATCTTGGTCTGAAAATGATGAAAAAAACAAAGATAATTCAAAAAGTAAAGTAAATAATTATGAAGTAAGAAGATCCTTAAGGAATAGAAAAAAAAATGTCTCAATGTAAGTTATTTTTATTTAATTTTCGCAATTTTATTTTCCACAAAGAACTTACATTTTAAAGGAAAAAATAGATTTGGTTTTGTTTAGATAAGTATTTAATTTTACCAACTCATAATTTTAGAGTTGATGATAGTAGCGATGAAGAACGTGACTTTTCCCCCGATGAAGATTCATCATACACTCCTGAAGATGAAGACGTTGAAGGAAACAAAAATAATCGACGATTTAAATCAGGGTAAGTGGTAAACATTCAATTTTTTATTTAATTGGTACTTTATTTTTCCTACTACTGGCAACACTGATTTTTAACCCCAATCTTACGTTGCCGCAAATACAATATAACATTATTTTAGATCTAAATTCAACGGTAGTGATGAAGAAAGTGATGATTCTGATCCTGCAGATGAAGATGAAAGCGATGCAGATGGAGATAAAAGTGAAAATTCCTCATGCAACATAAAGGAAGAAGAAAGGCATAGTGACTTTTCTGAAGAAGATGATATAAATTCCTCACATGATGAAGATGAAGAAAAAGATGAGGATGAAGCCACGTTTGAGACGAAAATCGAAGTGGAATATCATGGGGTTCAATATGAAGATGAAGAAGAATCGGGGTGAGTTATTTTTTTATACAGGGCCTTCTTCATGCCCTGGAAATGTTAAATTATTTTTCTTGCAGGGACGCCAATGAATTTATAAAAAAAGAAAACATCGAGAATACAAGCCTTTCCAGAAAGAGAAAAATCAAACATGTGACACTAAAAAAAGCATACAAATGCCAACGTTGCGACAAAAAATTCTCGACTAGGCAGAGTAGATGGGCCCATTTTAAAAAAAAACACGACGATCCGTTACAAAGAAAAAGTTTCGAATGCCCGCATTGCCCGAAAGTGTACTCGACAAAATATACTTTAAGAGATCACCTTAAAAGCCAACACGGCGACTCCAAGCAAAAAAAAAAATCCACGTGTCCACATTGCGACAAAATTCTCGTGAGTGAAAAATCAAAAAACGAGCACATTAGGGTAATACACGACGGCTTTAAGATCAACTGCCCGCATTGCCCGAATACGTTCACGGACAAATACAGGTTAAACCATCACATTGAAAACGAACATGGCGATCCAAAAGAGTACAAGTGTACGCAATGTGACAATAAATTCATGGAAAAAGACTCTCTAACCCGACACATTAAGGTTTCACACGAAGGTTATAAATACAACTGTCCGCATTGCCCGAAAGCGTTTAGTAGAAGAGTTTATTTGAAACAGCACTTTGAAAGCAAACACGGCGATCCCTTGGAAAGAGAAAAATACAACTGTTCGCAATGCGACAAAACCTTGTCATCGGTGAGTTGTTTAAAGAGGCACATCAAATCGGCACACGAAGGTTTTAAATTCTCTTGCCCGCAATGCTTAAAATTGTACACCGACCAGTTAAGCTTGAACAAACACCTTAGAATCGTACATGCCATAAATCGAGAATACAAATGTACACTTTGCGTCGAAATATTCCCGAGCAGGCAAAGTAGAGTCGCGCACTTTGAAAAAAAACACGAAGGTCATCGTTACAAGTGTCCACATTGCCCAAAAACGTTCAAAAAACCCAATCATTTTAAAATCCATGTTCAAAACCAACACGGCGATCCCTCACAAAGAAAAGAATACAAATGCTCACATTGCGACAAAAACTTTAAGAATAAACACAGCTTAACCCGACATGTTAAAATAAAACACATTGGTTTCAAGTACAGTTGTCCACATTGTACAAAAGCGTTCACAACAAGTGAAGGTTTGAAGCACCACCTTCAAACCCAACATGGCGATCCCTCGCAAAGAAAAAAATACAAATGTCCACAATGCGACCAAATATATTCTAGTATAAAAAGTAAGAACAGGCATATTCAAATACAACACTCATTGTGTGCTAAATACGGTTGTCCGCATTGCTCAAAAGAGTTCAAAAGAACTGATCACCTAAAACGCCATGTTCAAGATCTACATGAAGAAAAAACTTTGCCAAGAAAAAAATACAAATGTTTACACTGCGACAAGAGTTTCACAGAAAAACCCACTTTAAGTCGGCATATTAAAATAATACACAACGGTTTTAAATACCGTTGTCCACACTGCCCAAAAGCTTACACAAGTTCTGCTTGTTTAAAGCACCACGTTCAAAACCAACATGGCGACCCCTTACAGAAAACAAAATACAAATGTCCACAATGCGACGTAACGTTTTCTAGTATGAATAGTAAGAACAGGCATGTTAGAGTACAACACTCAATGTGTGCTAAATACAATTGTCCGCATTGCCCACAAGAGTTTAAAAAAAGTGATGCTTTAAAAATCCACGTTCAAAAACAACATGGCGATTCATTAAAAAGAAAAACCTATAAATGTCCACATTGCCAAAAAATAGAATTAACTAAAAAACATCTAAATAGGCACATTAAATCAAAGCACAAAGGACTTCCACATAAATTAACTTAATTTGTTGAAATAAAAATATTATATACATCCTGGACTTTTATTTCAACAACCATATTCTTATAAATGGTGTTATGTAATTAATGACGTATATTAAAATGGGTTCATAAAGAAGCACATAAAACTAAAAATAATTTATAATAACGTTTATCCTACCAAAAAGTACCCCACTTATCGAATAGGAACTTTAGGCTTATCGGGTTACCAAATTTAATTCATTATGTTTAGTTGGTAACAACCAGCGTTTTCAGATTCTGTCAAAAAAAGTTGCCAGATTTTGTTTAAATTTAGCTTAATTACAAAAATGACAAAATTAACAATACTACGGTATTATTTATCTTTTACGGGAGGAAGGAAGGAAGACAATCTATAGATTTATAAATCAAGCTTAAAAGTAAATTGGTAAAATCAGTTGCCAGATTTTGTTTAAATTTAGCTTAATTACAAAAATGACAAAATTAACAATACTACGGTATTATTTATCTTTTACGGGAGGAAGGAAGGAAGACAATCTATATATTTATAAATCAAGCTTAAAAGTAAATTGGTAAAATCAGTTGGCAACACTGCATGTATCTGGGTATGTTTGATAACTTTCAGGTATATTCTTTTTCTATGCATATAACAAACAGTTAGTTATGTATGTTTGTAGATACGGTGAAGGTTGATGGTGTAATTTTTGCACAGTAAATAATACCATGGAAGACGACGGGGTACATTTATTTGATGACTTTGTCACTGAAGACAGTATTTACCTCATAGAGGATGTGGAAAAGGAAAACCAATCACTTTTAGACAATAGAATTATCTTTGAAAAAGTACCAAGTCCCGTTGAACCAAAAGATATTAAAGGAAATAATAATGAAGATAGTAGAATAGATTGTCGGGTTAAGTAAGTATTTATGGTAAACAAGATTAGTCCTGGCTTGCTTAGTTTTTTGTACCTATACATTCAATTTTAGAAGTGCAATTGAAGAAAGTGATAAAGAAAATAAAGCAACAGATGATGATGATGAGGATTCCTCCACATCTGAAAATGATAAAAGAAACAAAAAGCATTCAGAAAGTAAAGTGAATAATTATGAAGTTAGAAGATCCACAAGGAGTGTAAAAAAAACTGTCACAATGTGAGTCATTATTTAACTTTTATTAAAATTTAAACTGGATATTGTCACTCCAAAAAAATATTTTTTTTATTCTTTTAAAATTATACCCAAGCAAAAAATGCTTTTGGGCATTTTAGTCATGGGCTGAAGTTGGCTTTATTATAAATTTGAGAAAAGTGAGGTTAAATCCGTTGACATTTGACAGATGTCAAATGTTTAACAAATAAAATTGGTTTTAAATTTTCTGTGTATTTCATAGATAAATTAAAGTACCTAAAATTGCATTTATAAAACTTGATACATGATATGCTATTGATAAGCTGTGACTTTATGGCGTTTCAGGCACGGGCTAAAGTTGGATTTGTTATAAATTTGGAAAAAGTGAGGTTAAATCCGTTGACAGTTGACAGATGTCAAATTTTTAACAAATATAGTTGGCTTTGTGTTCGTCGTAGATAAAGTCTCATTAAATTGCTTTTAAATTCTTCTCATAATAAACACTATTTTAAACAACTCATATCACATTTTTGCATACCCAATCATAATTTTAGAGTTGATGATAGTAGTCAAGAAGAAAGCGACTTTTCCGCCGATGAAGATTCATCATACACTCCTGAAGATGAAGAAGTTGAAGGGGACAAATATAATCGACGAATTAAATTAGGGTTAGTAAGAAACATTTTGTTTTGTATTTAACTGTATCAGAAATGTTTTTCTTTTAACGCCCCTATCCTTGTAATTGCAGTTAAATTGTAGTAAAAAGTCCCATCATAATTTATAAGGATAAGATGCGCAAACATTTTCCTCTAGATATTTTAAATTTGCAATTTTATGGTCAAATATTTAAGAAAGTTTTTTCTGGAAACAAAATTCGAGGTCAAAAATTTAAATATTTGAGCTTAGAACCTATGGCCACAATTATATTTAAACATAATTTTAGATCTAAAATCAACGATAGTGATGATGAAAGTGACGATTCTGATCCTGGAAATGAAAGTGAAAATTCCTTATGCAATATAAAGGAAGAAGGAAGGGATAGTGATTTTTCCGAAGAAGATGATAAAAATTCCAGACACAGTGAAGATGAAGAAAAATATGAGAATAAGGCCACGTTTGAGACGAAAATCGAAGAGGAATACCACGGGGTTAAATATGATGATGAAGATGAATCAGAGTTAGTTTTGGTGTATCATAGAAAGACCCTGTAAATTAACTTATTTTTCTTGTAGGGACGCAGATGAATTTAAAGAAAAAGAAAACAGAAATAATACCAGCCCTTCCAGAAAGAGAAAAAGGTGAGTTTTATAATTTAAACATTTCTTCTGTCCTTTTGCCTATTTAGGTAAATTTGACTGCAAAAAATGGTGAGTAGAGAATACTTTTGACAAAGCAGTTCTAGGACTATTCGCAAGGTTTTTAATACCCAGCAAACACATAAGTCCGATTATATTAATTTTTATAAAAGGATATCATGATAAGGTCTTGCAATGGCCCTTTTTAGGCTAATATTTGTATATTTTACCATAAAAGACACATGTATGGCAAAAATGTTAGTACAGCAATATTTAAATCAGGGTCAGTAAGAAACATTTTGTTTTTATTTAATTGTATCAGAAGTATTTTCTTTCAACGTCCCTATCCTTGTAACTGCAGTTAAATTGTAGTAAAAATTTTAGTCCCATCATAATTTATAATGATAAGATGCGCAAAATTTTCCTCTGGATATTTTAAATTTGCAATTTTATGGTCAAATATTTAAGAAAGTTTTTTCTGGCAACAAAATTCGGGGTCACAAAATTTAAATATTTGAGCTTAGAACCTAAGACCACAATTATATTTAAACATAATTTTAGATCTAAAATCAACGATAGTGATGAAGAAAGTGACGATTCTGATCCTGGAAGTGAAAGTGAAAATTCCTTATGCAATATAAAGGAAGAAATAAGGGATAGTGACTTTTCTGGAGAAGATGATAAAAAATCTTCACAAAATGAAGGTGAAGAAAAAGATGAAGATGAAGGCATGTTTGAGACGAAAATCGAGGTGGAATATCACGGGGTTAAATACGATGATGAAGATAAATCAAAGTGAGTTATTTTTTGTTCAGGCTCCGGAAGTGTGAAACCGTTTTTCTTGTAGGGACGCAAATGAATTTATAAAAAAAGAGAACATTGAGAATACAAGCCCTCTCAGGAAGAGAACCAGAAAGAGAAAAAGGTGAGTAAATAATATAAATAAACAACAAGTAAATTAATTTGTTTTGGCGCCAAAGTATGTACCAAAAATTATTTGTTTTATGCTTTGACCCGCTGAAATAAAAAATAACATTTCTGTGATTTTTGAGCTTTTTTTAGGAAAATTTTAAAAGGTGACCACCACCGTTGTCCACATTGCCCAAAAGTGTACACAAAAATAGATAATTTAAAGCGGCACGTTGAAAGCCAACACGGCGATCCATCGCAAAGAGAAAAATACAACTGTTCGCAATGCGAACAAATATTTTCGAGCGGAAAAGGTCTAAAAATACACATTAAATCAAAACACGAAGGTTTGAAATTCCGTTGGCCGTTAAATCGTCAAATCAAAGAGGCTGCACCAATAAAAGAATACAAATGTCAACTTTGCGACGAAAAATTCCCGAATTATCAAAGTATAGGCGAGCACTTTAAAAAAAAACACGACGGCTACCGTTGCAAATGCGAGCATTGCTCTAAAAAGTTCAAAAGAAGTCTAACGTTAAAAATGCATGTTGAGAGCAAACATAGCGATCCCTCGCAAAGAATAAATCACAAGTGCCCGCATTGCCTGAAAGCGTACTCAAGAAGAGGACCTTTAAACGAGCACATTAAAAGTCGACACGGCGACTCCACAGAAAGAAAAAAATACACGTGTCCACATTGCGACAAAATACTCGTGAGTAAAAAATCGAAAACGAGACACATCAGGGTAATGCACGAGGGTTTTAAGAGCGACAGGTCAAAACAACACGTTGAAAAACAAAGTGGCGATCCTGAAGAGTACGAATGTACGCAATGTGGCGACAAATTCGGAGAGAAAGACTCTTTAACGCGGCACGTTAAAGTGAAACACGAATGCTGTAACTACACGTGTCCGCATTGTCCGAAAGCGTTTATGGATAAATTGTATTTTAGGCAGCACCTTGAAAGCCAACATGGCGATCCACTGCAAAGAAAAAAATACAACTGTCCACAATGCGACAAAATCTTCCCATCACTAACATACTTAAAGACGCACATTAAAACAACACATGAAGGTTTTAACTTCCCGTGCCCGCATTGCTCAAAAACGTACACCCTCAAATCACGATTGAACAAACACCTTCAAGTCCTGCACGCCGTAAAACCAGAATACAAATGTACATTGTGCGACGAAAAATTCCCGACCAGGCAGAGTAGAGTCGCGCACATTGAAAAAACACACGAAGGCCATTGTTACAAATGTCCGCATTGTCCAAAATATTACGCAAGAACTAATAAACTAAAAATCCATCTCCAAGAAGAACATTCAAAATCAAACTACAAATGTTCAGTTTGTGACAAAAATTTCTCAAAAAAACACGATTTAAGCCGGCACGTTGAGATAAAACACAACGGTTTTAAATACAGTTGTCCACATTGCAGGACAGCGTTCAAAAGAAAGGATTTTTTAGAGCGGCACGTTCGAGACCAACATGGTGATATCTCGCAAAGAAAAAAGTACAAATGTCCACAATGCGACGCAATGTTTTCTTGGACAAATAGTAGGAAGAAGCATATTCAAGAACAACACTCTAAAAACAACACTGAATATAGTTGTCCGCATTGCCAAAAAGCTTTCAAAAGGAGTAATACTTTAAAAATACACGTTCAATTGCAACATGGCGATCCCTTACAAAGAAAAAAATACGAATGTCCACATTGCCCAAAAGTTTACAAAGAAAGTCGCTATTTCAAAAACCACGTTAAAAACCAACATGGTGATTCCTTGCGACAAAATAGAACTAACTAAAAACATCTTAATGGGCACATTAAATCAAAACACAAAGGACTAAATTCAATAAAAATATTGTATGTATCCTGGACTTTTATTTCTACAAACCTATTCTTATATGATTAATTTTTATAGTCTGTTTTATTGACTCAATTTATTTATAAAACAAAAAAATGTGAAACATAAAAATGGTACAAAGACAAATCAAAGAACTAACTCCTTATGTATCCAGTGTTGCCAATATATAAAATGTTCATGGACATGTATAATACATAATATTATTACGTGAGGAAGGGAGGCAATCTATAAATCAGGCTTAAGAGTAAATTGGTAAAATCAGTTATATGGTTGGTAACACTACATATGTATCTCTGTATGTTTGATAACAAACATACAGAGATAACCTTTTATATCCTTTTTCTATGGAGATAACAAACATATAATAGGCACATAACAAACAGTTTCTTTACAGTAAATAATCCCATGGAAGAGGACGAGGTAAATTTATTTGATGACTTTGTCACTGAAGACAGTATTTACCTCATAGAGGATGTGGAAAAGGAAAACCGATCACTTTTAGACGCAAGAATTATCTTTGAAAAAGTACAATGTACTACTGCTGAACCGAAAGATATTAAAGAAAATAATAATGAAGAAAGTAAAATAGATTGTCAGGTTAAGTAAGTATTCCTGTACCCCAGAACCACTTTTTTAAAATCACGTTTTTAATGGTTATGTATCCTAAGCTTACTTAAGTAAGCTTAGGATACATAACCATTAAAAACGTGATTTTAAAAAAGTAGTAATTACTTAGTTTTTGATGTATTAAAAACTAAGTACTGTAGGTATGTATCCACCCACCCAACACATTGTATAAATTTAAATTTAGGACTACAGTTAAAGAAAATGAAGCAACAGATACAGATGTCAATGATGATTATGAGGATTCATCCATGTCTGAAAATAATAAAAAAATCCAAAGGCATTCAAAAAGTAAAGTGAATAATTATGAACTAAAAAGATCTACAAGGAGTGAAAAAAAAGTTGTCCCAATGTGAGTCATTATCATTTCACTTTTATTAAAATTTTAACTGATTAAAAATTTTTTTTTATGATTTTTAAATAATTAGTAAAAATTAACTGCTATATTAGGTTCATTCCAACCAGCAGTAATTTCCAGTAATATTACTGATACACATGCGCGTTTGTAAAATGTCGTTCCAACCAACTAAAATTACTAGTTTAGAACTGGCAATTACTGTCAGTTCGTCGTTCTAACCAAAGTTACGAACAGTTAAATTACGGTTCAAACGATTCTTGCTCGAGAGCAAGAACTGTTGATAATAAAATTAGACGCATGCGTAGAAGGGGCACAACCTCATCTTTTTGTTTATTTATTAACGTTTGTAAGTTTGTTTTCTGTTAAAGTGGACATATTATTTAAAAATGACTGCTATACAAGGTGATTTTATTAATTTTTAATGTTAATAGTAATTTTTGTCATTTGTGAGCAGGAATGGAAGAATTTATTATCAATGTGTGATGTTATTAAAATATACTTTTATATATATATTTATAAACTCAACAAACATGGGTTATATTTATTTCTAGTAGCAATGTCCCCAATAAAATCTAAATCCTCGTCATCCGAAGAATCATACAAGTAATTATTTAAAAAACCTGCCATATTTATTACTTAAGTAATAAATATGGCAGGTTTTTTATAATAAATTTATTGAAATAGATATACCTATATGCGCTTTACTTAGCTTTTAGCACAATACAATTGTGGGTTTTAGGTTATATTCTTTTTCTTCTGATTGAGAGTACTACCAGTTCAAAAAAGGTTCCAACCAGTTTATACATTATTCAAAATAATTTTACTATTTTTGTTCGCGCAGTCGCATTAACGCTGTTACGGACGATAATATTACGGTAATATTACTGCTGGTTGGAATGAACCTATTATTTTCTAAAAGGAACTGTTTAAAATATTTTAAATTAAAAACTAGAAGAAATGTAATGGCGGTTTGTAACTAATAAAATGTATTAAGTTTTTCACATAAATATATTAACAACTTGTATCACTTTTTTGCAACACAACCAAGATAGGTATTTAATTTTAGAGTGGATGATAGTAGTAAAGAAGAAAGTGACTTTTCTGCTGATGAAGATTCTTCATACACTCCTGAAGATGAAAAAGTTGAAGGAAACAAATATAATCGACGATATAAATCAGGGTCAGTAAGAAACGATAGTGACGATTCTGATCCTGGAGATGAAAGTGAAAATTCCTCATGCAAAATTAAGGAAGAAGGAAGAGATAGTGAGTTTTATGAAGAAGATGATAAAAAATCCCTACATAATGAAGATGACGAAAAAGATGAGGATGAAGCCATTTTTGAGACGAAAATCGAAGTGGAATATCACGGGGTTAAATATGATGATGAAGATGAATCATGGTGAGTTATTTTTCACACGGGCCCCGGAAGTGTAAAACTGTTTTTCTTGTAGGGACGCCGATGATTTTATAAAAAAAGAAAACTTGGAGAATACCAAAAAAGGAAAAAGGTAAGTTTTATAATTTGAACATTTTTACTGTACCTTTAATTTATTTTAAACCGCTGCTTGTGGGTAAATAAAAAATAACATTTCTGCGATTTTTGAGCTTTTTTTTTAGGGAAATTTCAAATGGTGGACACCTTCAAATCAAACAAGCTGCGCAAAAAAAAGAATACAAATGTCAACTTTGCGACGAAAAATTCCCGACTAGGCAGAGTAAAGTTAAGCACGTTAAAACAAAACACGACGGCTATCGTTGCAAATGCCCGCATTGCCCTAAAACGTACAAAAGAAGTCTAACGTTAAAAATGCATGTTCAAAGCAAACATGGCGATCCCTCGCAAAGAATAAATCACAAGTGCCCGCATTGCCTGAAAGCGTACTCAAGAAGAGGACCTTTAAACGAGCACATTAAAAGTCGACACGGCGACTCCACAGAAAGAAAAAAATACACGTGTCCACATTGCGACAAAATACTCGTGAGTGAAACATCGAAAATGAATCACATCAGGATAATACACGGGGGTTTTAAGAGCGACAGGTTAAAGCAGCACGTTGAAAAACAACGTGGCGATCCTAAAGAGTACGAATGTACGCAATGTGGCGACAAATTCGGAGAGAAAGACTCTTTAACGCGGCACGTTAAAGTGAAACACGAATGCTGTAAATACACGTGTCCGCATTGTCCGAAAGCGTATATGAAAAAAATTTATTTCATGCAGCACGTTGAAAGCCAACATGGCGATCCACTGCAAAGAAAAAAATACAACTGTCCACAATGCGATAAAACCTTCGCGTCGTTGGAATCGTTGAAGACGCACATTAAAAAAGCACACGAAGGGTTTAAATTGTGTTGCCCTCATTGCTCAAAAGTGTACACCAACAAGTTAAGCTTGGACAAACACCTTCAAAGCATACACGCCGTAAACCGAGAATACAAATGTCCTCTTTGCGACGAAATCCTCCCCACCATACAAAGTAGAAGCGAGCACATTAAAACAAAACACAAAGGCCACTGTTACAAATAGGGATGCACCGGAGTTACTGCTCACCTACTGCCTCCGGCCGATCCGGCCTATGCGGCAGCATATCCGGCTCCGGCCAAATTTTTAAACTGATCCGGCAACAACGGCCGGATTTTGGCCGGATTTTTTAAATTTTAAATAAAATATTTTTTCAAACGTTTATTATAAAAAATATATATATATATATTCTTTTACAAGTAACAAACTATTTTTTTAGAAATAATTTAAAATAGATTAAGGATTAAACTTCATGATTTAAGCGAACATAAGATAACGAAGTCTTTAAGTTATAGTGCAAAAATTAGAGTTGTTCACCTTTCTCGGGAAGAAATCGGCTATGCGCAGTTAACAGGTGATCGTATCTATGCGCACTAAGTAACAGACGCCGTACGTATGCGCAGTGGTTTTCAGATGGTTGTATTATACCTATTATAATTATTGTACCTATGTTTTTTAATTGTTATAACTTTTAGATTAGGTATATTAATAAATATTATTTATTTATTTTTATGTTACCTATTTATTATTTTTTTAAACGTTTTATAAAGATATACTTTTTAATATATTATTGGTTTTAAAAACTTTAATTTATTGATAAATATATATGTTTTTGTTTTTCCCCTAAAATAGCTATTTAACGAACTCATTTGAGTCCGTAAAATAATTCTTTTTTTGTACTACACCTTTTCCAGTTGATATTCAGAAAGTAGCAATTGATATTCAGAAAGCAGCAATTGATTTTCAGATATTGCAAATGAAATTCAGAAAATAGCAAATGTAATTCAGATATTGCAAATGATATTTAGACAGTAGCAATTGATATTCAGAAATTACAAATAGTATTCAGACAGTAACAATTGTAATTCAGAAAATATCAATTGAAATTCAGAAATTAACAAATGATAACATTTTCATACTTCATTTTACTTATTTTCTAAAATCTTAATTTAATGTATTTTTTTGTATATTGCTTTTTTTCCATGGAATTGACAATAATAAACAAATTTATCACCATTTAAGTAGGTATATTTGTCATAATAATTGTTGACAATTATTGTCAACTTATTACAAGTAAGTACCGAATTTTGTTCATTTGTACTTTATATAAATTTAATTTACTTAGTTAATAAAGATAACGTGTACTTTCATTCATCATCGATTTAGTGTATGCAACCCACTGTTCCTGAAACAATTGCTGCGGCTAAATTACATTTGATTTAATCTGAAAATCAATTGTGTTATCTGAATTACAATTGCTACTTTCTTAAAATCAATTGTGTTATCTGAATTACATATGCTACTCTCTTAAAATCAATTGGAATAGCTGAATTACAATTCCTACTATCTGAATATCAACTGGAATAACTGAATTACAATTCCTATTTTCTGAATATCAACTGGAAAAGGTGTAGTACGAAAAAATTGCTATGGAAACTTTTGCAACATGGTTCTTGAACCATTGCAATACAACAATTAAAAATAAAATTCGATAATTGTCACTGACAGTGATAACTGTCAATAACCTTAATTTCGAGAAATAGGTATTTACTCTATTTAAAAATATGAATATATGGAACTAGAACAAAAAAATGTTGTTTGCAACATGTACCTAAAAATCATGTTTTTTAGGACGAATCGTAGCTGTTTGCGGTCGAGGCGAAGCCAAAACCAGAACAGCCGATGTTACAAAAATAGCTATAATAATACGTATACGTATATAATACGTATATATAATATGTATAATTATATTACTTTTTAACTAATATAATATGTATATATATATATATATACATATTATATCATTTGTTTCACTAATTTAGTTGATTTTATCCCTTAAATATATTAATATATACTAATTAGTATTGCTAAAATATACTGTTATATGAAATTTCAGCTTTTTATAAGCATTTCTTTTCTTGATGTCCTCCCAAAAATATTTCAGACAGTTCAATAAGTTTTCGGTAGTCATCTCTCACAATAGACTCTTTTATTTATTTAGAGTAAAACCCATTAAGTTTATCAATTTCAGAGTTTACGGCCTTCACCAGACCCTTCCGGGTAACTAGCCACTCCCTGTGAAAATATACTTTTTTGTCAAAGTATACACATAAATAAAACTATAGTTTTATATATATATTTTAATATTTGTCAATAATTTATAATATAAGGGTCACATAATAACAAACACAAAATGACTTACGATCGAAGACCTCGCGACCAACCGTGTTACAAAATACCGCGCGCCTAACGTTGGCTAACGGAGGGTTCAGATGCAAGTCGGCACGGGTTCCCGTTTATAGAATGAGCTGAAATTTTTACTGGGAGTATATAAACACGTAATAAATATAATTAGAGGGTATGCATAAAAAAAATAAAAATAAGGGACACCCTAAGGTACATGACAAAAACCTGGTGTAAAAATAAAAAAGACAATGCGCCACCTAATAATGATTACTTATAAGGTGGGCAAGCTTGCCCACCTTATAAGTAATCATTATTAGGTACTAGTACCTAAAATATAAACACTTTTGTGGCGACTGTTTTTTACTGTTACTGAATACATGAATAAAGTGGACTAAGTTATATAAGTAAATCCGTGTATAATTTAAGTATACCACACTTTTATTTATTTTTAATACGACTAGAATGCATGCGTAAAATGAAAGGTCTGTCAATTTTTCTCCTTGTTTTAAAAGACAAATGTTAATTTACTTTACATGTATTGTTGGTTGCCTGTTCGGGAACAGGATCCCCACATACCACATCAACACGTAATTGGTAACTAAGTGCAAGATTTGCATAATACTGAAACAGAAACTGCACCTGCCTGTGTAAAAACACTAAGATCCGGCCGACTCCGGCTAAATCCGCCAAAATCCGGCCGGAGATAATCCGGCCGATGACGCCGGATTACTGCATCCGGTAATCCGGCCAAAATCAAATCCGGTGCATCCCTAGTTACAAATGCCCACATTGCCCACAATCTTACGCGAGAACACGAACGTTAAAAATCCACGTTCAAGACCAACACAACAATCGCATACAAAGAAAAAACTACAAATGTTCGCGTTGCGACAAAAATTTCTTAAACAAATTCGCATTAAGCCGGCATATTGAAATAAAGCACAACGATTTTAAACAAAGTTGTCCGCATTGCCCAAAAACGTTCACAAGAAGTGATGTTTTAAAGCAACACGTTCAAAGAACACATGGCGATCCCTCGCAAAGAAAAAAATACAAGTGTCCACAATGCGACGCAATGTTTTCCAGGACAAGTCATAGGAAGAGGCATTTTGAAATAAAACACTCATCGTGTTCTAAATACACTTGTCCGCATTGCCCAAAGGAGTTCAAAAGAAGTGATCATTTAAAAAGCCACGTTCAATTGCAACATGGCGATCCCTTACAGAGAAAAAAATACAAATGCCCACATTGCCGAAAAGCTTACACGGCAAGTTTTACTTTAAAAACACACGTTCAAAACCAACACAAAGGACTTGATTTGTTGTAATAAAATATTATATGTTTCCTAGACTTTTATTTCTACAAACCTATTTTTTAAATGTAAGTTGTTACCAACTTACAGCGTCAAAAAATGCGCGAACCGTTTGATGTAACCTTGGTTGTTTTTAACAAAACCGCTACAATAATAATTAATTATTATAATGATTGTACTTTTAGTAGTTATGATTGTACTTTTAGTAGTTATGATCAAAGATTATCTTTGGTTATGATGACTAACTGTGTAGGTATATCTCTTAAAATATTAATTTTAGAGATTTACAAAACCACTGTATTTTGACGCAAGCAAGTATGGTGAGAGTTTTTGGCGCTTGAAATATAGCTGTTGGTGAGAAAGACAAACTCCCCCATTGTTGCCAATCTGAATAATAATTTTAGAGAATTTCATGGTCTGTGGGGAATTTTGTGAGTAATTAGAACGCGATGTATATGTTTGGATTGCAATACCATTAATGACATATTTTTCTTTGGAAACTCGGAAACTAGACGTTTCGGGAATTTTATTTTGATGATGGCAACATTGCGCAGCAGTGTCGCCAACAAAATGATTTGTTGGTATTTTTTGGGTTTCAGACTATTTTGAGTAGTTAACAACTTTTATATATAGCCTGTATAATAAAGGTATGTATATATTATGTGTTCCCTGGACTTTTATTTCTACAAACCTTTTCTTATATGAAATTTAACAGAATTTAATAACTGAAGTTGTAACCAACCAACCTACATTTCTTCTCCCCTTTCATAGGTTAACCCCTAGACAAAATTTATGGGAACGCCACTAGTTGTAACCATGGTAAATTTGAACGGTTAGTTACCTAACCTTAAATCTGCTTCATTCTTCAATACCATAGTTTATTCTGTATATTATACAAAATCTTGTTGGAAAAAATAATAGTCTAGATAATAATATATTAAACATTTATTTACATAATTACAAATATTTGGTGACTAAATAGTAAAATATCACATGTATCTTAATACATAAAACAATTCTACAAAATACAAATTTAATTAATTTGGTAAGAAATTCAATTGCACAGCTAAATATTATTTGTGTTTTGGGTTGCAAGTAAAATCTAAAAAACTTTAGTACCTACTCGATTTCGATTTATTAGTATTTCTTATACCATATCAATTGATTAAGAAACTCAATGCTTATATGCTTATATAGTTGGTGTGTGTATTTTATCCAAGTGATCATAGTGAATTATTGTGTTTTAATTGTAAATGTGATTCAACAACTAAATCGTTGCATTTTCTTGTTTTGCCAAAGAATCCGGTACGTATATTTGTTGGTGCAGAATTAACCAATGATAGCTTTACCTGATATAATTTATATTTAAGTTTTGACATTTTTAAGAAATTCAACAAAAAAATAATAGTTGTACAAACATAACCTTAAAATCAACATTCTGCATTATTATGTCTTGCAGTTGTTAGTTTTTTGTCGCAATGAGGGAATTTGTGTTTTTTTTTTCGTTACGAGGGATCGCCATGTTGCTTTTGAACGTGGAGTTTTAAACCATCAGTTCTTGTGAACTCTTTTGGGCAATGCGGACAACGGCACTTAAAACCGACGTGTGCTGTTTTATTATGCCGACTCAAGCCGCTACTTTTTGCAAATTTTTTGTCGCACTGCGAACATTTGTATCCGTGTTTAGCGTGCGCGGTTTGAACGTGGAGTTCTCGCTTTGCCTTGTCGGTGAACATTTTCGAGCAGTGCGCGCAACGGAAGTTGAAACCTTCGTGTATCGATTTAACGTGTATTTTCAGACTTCCCATAAGCGAAAACGTCTTGTCGCATTGCGAACAGTTGTATTTTTCTTTCTGCGAGGCATCGCCATGTTGGCTTTCAAGGTGCTGCATAAAACTAACTTTTTTTATGAACGCTTTCGGGCAATAAGGACACGGGTACTTGGAACCTTTGTGCTTCGTTTTAGTGTGTCTGATTAAAGATTCTCTTTCTACGAATGTTTCGTCGCATTGTGCACATTGGTACCCTTCTTTTTGCGAGAAATCGCCATGTTTTATCTCGATGTGCCGCGTTAGCTTGCACTTTTTCGTGAACTTATTCGGGCAATGCGGGCAATTGACCTCACAGCCGTCGTTGTTCGATCTGATGTGCGCGTTTTTCAGCCAAACGGTTACGAATATTTTGTCGCAATGCGGACACGTGTATTTTTTTCTTTGCGTGGAGTCGCCGTGTTGGCTTTCCAGGTGATCTTTTAAAGTATCTTTTCTTGAGTACACTTTCGGGCAATGCGGGCAACGGCTTTTGAGGCAGTCGGATTTGTCGTCTTTTAACGATTCCCTAAAACAAAAAAGCGGCTGTGTTTGCTAGGTATTAAAAACCTTGTAAATAGTCCTAGAACTGCTTTGTCAAAAATATTCTCTACTCACCATTGTTTGCAGTCGAATTTAGCTAAATAGGCAAAAGGACAGAAGAAATGTTTAAATTATAAAACTCACCTTTTTCTCTTTCTGGAAGGGCTGGTATTCTTTCTGTTTTCCTTTTTTTTAAATTCATCTGCGTTCCTACAAAAAAATAAGTTAATTTACAGGGTGTTTCTATGATACACCAAAACTAACTCTGATTCATCTTCATCCTTATATTCCACCTTGATTTTCGTCTCATCTTTTTCTTCATCTTTACTGTGAATGGAATTTGTATCATCTTCAGAAAAGTCACTAACACTTCCTTTTTTCTTCATATTGCATGAGGTTTTTTCACTTTTATCTCCAGGATCAGAATCATCACTATTGTTGATTTTAGATCTAAAATTATGTTTAAATATATTTGTGGCCATAGGTTCCAAGCCCAAATTTAAATTTTGCGACCTCGAACTTTGTTGCCATAAAATTGCAAATTTAAAATGGCCGTCTTATCCTTATAAATTATGACGGACTATATATTAAAATTTAACTGCAGTTTAAAGAAAAACACTTATAAAAAAATACTGACCCTGATTTAATTCGTCGTTTATATTTGTTCCCTTTAACTTCTTCATCTTCAGGAGTGTATGATGAATCTTCATCGGAAGAAAAGTCACGTTCTTCATCGCTACTATTATCAACTCTAAATTATGAGCGGGTATTATTAAATATCTACCTTAGGTATGAAATATGTTGATATATTGTGCAAAACTTTTTAAAAATTTATTCAATTAATTTTAAATTGTATTAGTTATAAAGCCCAACCACATTTTTTAAGTTTATATAATTTTTTTGTAGAAAACAAAATTGAAGTTAATTTTGCAGATAATTAAAAAAAACATTATTAAAATGATTGTTTTAGTTTGGTCTAATAAAATCAAACATTTAATAAAACTCAAATAAAATGGACTCACATTGGGACAATTTTATTTCTACTTCTTGTGGATTTTCTAACTTTACTTCTTGAATTCTCTTTGGTTTTTTTGTCATTTTCAGACGTGGATAAATCCTCATCTAAATCTGTACGAGTTGCTTCGTTTTTGTTATAACTTTCTTCAACTGCAGTCCTGCAATTTTTTTTTATAAATTGTCATTCTTTTTGCATTAGAGGTACTGTGTTTTAATAAAATAACTATGAATTTTTTTTGGCAAAACTGGGGATAGTTGAACATTTATTATGATTTTGTGAAACACTTAAAAAAATATCAATCGAAGTAAAAAGTGAAATTCAAAATTGACGGGAAAACCACGGAAACCTCGAGATACCTAACAATAAAAAGTAAGTATTGTTTTATTCAAAGTACCTAAAAATAGCTGAGTATGCAAAACAAAAAACAATTATCAAAAAAGTAATCAATGATAACACAAATGTAAATTTTTAAGGAATGAAGATTATTGCCCACTGTGCGAGCATATTTTGCGTCAGTTGTTACAAACAACCTCGCGGCCGAAACTTTCTACGTTAGTTAAATAAATATTAATGATTTTTTTATTGAAAAAATGGCAGTTTAATACATAAAAAATAAACAATTTGTTCTCAAAATATAACTTGGCCATTGTTTACTATTTTTTTTATATATCTTAATAACATTTTTCTTTAGTCACAGTTATATAAATAATGCCCCAATTATCTTCCCTGTTTATAATAAAATTTTGGTTAATAAATATTTAAAGTTTAAATATTTTTTGTTATTTTTAACTTCACCAAGAATTTTTTTTTCTGAATAACTCACCCTGATTCATCTTCATCTTCATACTTAATCCTGTGATCATTCATTGAGATAAACTCAAACATGGCTTCATCCTTACCTCTTACTTTATCTTCATAACATAGGAAATTTTTATCATCTTCTTCAGAAAAGTCAGTATCCCTTACTTCTTCCTTAATTTTCCATGAGGTTTTTTCACATTTATCTTTTTCTTCATCTTCATTAGGTAGGAACTTTTTAACATCTACAAAAAAGTCACTATCCCTTCTTTCTTCCTTAATTTTGCATGTGTTTTTTCCACATTCATCTTCAGGATTTGAATTGTCATTTTCTTTATTACTATTGTTGATTTTAGATCTAAAATTATGTATTTAGCCTAAAAACGAATATTTATAAACATTAGGTATATAAATATGTTTATAAATATTCGTTTTTTACACATACTTTTGTAAATACTTGTAACACCACTAAAATTAGTTAGAAAGTGTTTTCTTAACCTTTAAAATTAAAATGCTAAATTTGGTTACAAAAGTCTCAAGGATTTTAACGACAAAATCGAAAGGTCTTCCGCAAAAATTAAACATTAATTGGAAAACTTCTTTACAGCCTTAATTGAAACTCACCCAATTAATAAAATAAGGTCTTTAAAATAATCTGCTTAAAGTAAGTTTAATTAATATAAAATTGGGGTTATAACCTAGATTAGGTTAGACTTCATTGTATTTTTGAAATAAAATAATAATTAATAAATGAACCGCTAGAGGGCGGATTAGCAACTTTAAAAATAATGTTCATGGTTTTCACTGACTTACCAATACATTATTTAAAAGATCTTTAAAGTATCTTGAAAATACTGTTTTATAATGTTTTTTAATAAAAATAAAATTATGCATTTTTAAATCTAAAATACTTACCCAACCCAACAATCATTTCCATGTTCTTCATAATAATTTTCTTCCATATTTTTTAGTTTGATAGAACTCTGAACTTTTTCAAAGGTAAATGTACCTTGTCCTCTTCCATGGGATTATATACTGTACAAAAATTAAATTAATAAAGATTTCTTTATAAGGTGCACCAAGTAAATTTTTGGTTTTGACAGATTTATAGTTTTTCTCAAATTGTTTGACTGATTTTTTCCCAATTTTATAATACCATTTTAATTGACCTTGTAGCTCTTCAAATAAAAAGATACCCATACACCTTGTATAAAAATTGCTTATATTTGATATTTGTATTTTATGGTAAAAGAAAAGCTTGGGTTAATGTTAATAAATAACAAATAACCTCAAAATTTACGTACACAAATATTAATAATAAAGTCCAACTTACGATTTATTTTTAATTTAGTATTTTATAAGGTATAGCTTTATATCTAAAAATGTATATCCCCTAAAACAATTTGACATCTCAAATACCGTAAACACGGGTGGCTTTGGCTCACTTTCAAACTTCAGCTTAAAATTTTTGTGGTTTTAACAATCATAAACATTAAATTTTGTATACCAAAATTTGAGTCTTGAGTTGCTCTTTCATAATAACTATGTTATAATATAACATAGGGCTGAGTTTCAAAAATAAACATTAAAAACTGGGTGTGCAAAGTTACCCCCTGGTTGCGGGTTACTTTGTCTCACAGTGTTTTTTCAGTATAAAATGAATGTAACATTATATTTTATTTTTATTAGACACGTGTTAGCAGCGACATATATCTATTGCAAGGGATTACCAATAAAAAAAATAAAGAATCGACCTGTAGTTAACCAAGGATCATCATTCCAATGGATTGCGCATAATATAGAAATTTTAACGCGTGCATTTCTAGAGTTTTGCACTGATACGATATATACAATTTTTAAGTGTAATAAATCCCATTTCTTTTTTTAAAACACTGATTTTCCTGTAATATAAACTCAATAGAATCGCTCAATTGACAGGTTTAGACCAACAAATTATAAATGTTAATTTTATCGAGCGCGAAAAGATTTTTCATAAATGGGTTAAAGTCACCCGCGGGGTGCAAAGTCACCCGTATTTACGGTATATAAAAAAAAACAATAATCAACAAAGTTCTGTGTACATAATGGTCTTTCCAGTGTTGCCAACACAGATCACAGATTATAAAGGTTGGCAACAGTATATTGATACTTTCTCCCCTTACAACAAAATTCTCCGAATATCAGTCAAATTCGCCGCGTCCTTCAATCAAAATATAATGTTTAACATATTTTGCTCTAATATTGGACTAGGAAGCCAAGGAAAAAGGATCATCAATGAAAATTTACCGCAGACCGGAATCCGGAGAATTGTCCGCCTATTGGCAACACTGGTTCTGGAACAGCTGTTCTCCCTTACGATGTTACCAATTGTACAACAGACTATTAAAAATTATTTTTATATTTCGCCAAATTCAAGCTTTGTGGAAATATTTTGCATCTTCACCAATCCAATGTAGATTCTGTAGTTTTGGCCGTGATCATGATGTCAACGAATATTTTGTTCTGTGTTGTCCGCCGTAGTGGCAGGCTGCTGTTCGCATAAAAGAGGGTTGGCAACACTTCTGTGCTAGTGATGTTGATCTTCTTCTTCTTCTTGATTCTGATCACAATTCTGTGTTCAGAGAAATGAGAAATGTTGATGTTTATCTCTTTATAAAGCATATTAAATTTTGTTATTTGTTTTATATTTGTTATATAGTTTTAAAGTAAATATTCCTATGGCAGAGAATGAGGTACATTTATTTGATGACTTTGTCACTGAAGATAGTATTTACCTTATAGACTCCAAGGATGTGGAAAAGGAAAACCAATCACTTTTAGACACTTTTGAAAAAGTACAAAGTTTCGTTAAACAAGAAATCATTGAAGGAAGTAATAATGGAGAGTGTAGAAAAGATTGTCTTGTTAAGTAAGTATTTATATACCCTAAGGTCACACCGTAAGTCCCAATTCACTTAAGCGTTTTCCATTCGTAAAACTCGGGCAGAATGGTGCATTTTTTGTTCCATTCATAAAACTGGTGTTTTAGTGTTAAACATAATTTAAGATCTAAAATCAACGATAGTGATGAAGAAAGTGACGATTCTGATCCTGGAGATGAAAGTGAAAAAACCTCATGCAATATTAAGAAAGAAAAAAGGGATAGTGACTTTTCTGAAGAAGATTATACAAATTCCTCACATAATGAAGATGAAGCCATGTTTGAGACAAAAATAGAAGTGGAATATCATGGGGTTAAATATGATAAAGAAGATGAATCAGGGTGAGTTATTTTTTACACAGGGCGTTCTTCATGCCCTGGAAATGTTAAATTATTTTTCTTGTAGGGACGCCAATGAATTTATAAAAACAGAAAACATAGAGAATACCAGCCCTTCCAGAAAAAGGTGAGTTTTATAATTTAAGCATTTTTACTGTACTTTTGCACAACAGGTTAAACATGATGAATAGAAAATATTTATATATATGTATTAATACAATTGGTAGGTATAATGGGCATGACAAAATTTTCAAATGAAGTATATGCAAAAATAAAAATTCCAAACATAACCAAATTCTTTGACAGTTTTAATCTTTTTACTTGTTATAAAACCATTAAGAGCATACTTTAGTATAAAGTTAAAAAACATATTTTTATCTCGAATTTCAAACGATTCAAATACTTTGAAGAATATTGAACATAACCTAGAAACGTGCTAGAAACAGATGTTAAATTAATTCGTAATTCTTGACACATCTGTTATGACCTCGTGACGTCGTCGCGCTTTTTGAATCTTGCATTTTTCACAGCGCTGTAGCGTTCTCAAAAATTGTTTGGGGAATGTAGGAAAACATTTTTAACAACAAACTCGTATGCGTTTGCGTTAAAGGGGGGAAAGCGCCAGGGGGAGATACAAGAGTATGGCCTTTCGCCCTTTAGACCGCCAGGAATAAAATATATCTAAAATACGGGCAGTTCTGAATTTTTTCGACGTGCTATGCAGCACAAACAAAATTTCCTCCTTGACATGTAAATACTAATAATTGAGGTTATATGTCTGTCAGTTTTACGCTAATTTCGTCTTACTTTTTGAAAAAAATACAGTATATGCATTTTTTGTGTTCCAAATTAAGATATTTCACGCCAAATTAAATTTGGCAAATTTTCAGTAAAAACATAAATTTGTCTGGAATATTTTTTATATTAATTATGTGGTATATACTCCATTTTATGTAAATAGTGAGTTAATAATAAATAACAAAACATTTCCATGGTTTTTCAGCTTGTTTATGTTTTAGGGAAATAATAAAAGGTGACAAATCCAATGGCGTTAAAAACCGTTGTCCGCATTGCCTAAAAGAGTTCACAAGAAAAGCTCATTTAAAACATCACGTTGAAAGCAAACATGGCGACCCCTTGCAAAGAAAAAAATACAAATGTCCACAGTGCCTAAAAGCTTACATAGACATTTATTATTTAAAAAAACACGTGTCACGTTGTAATATAAAACACAATGGTTTTGAACACACGTGTCCACATTGCCCAAAAGTGTACATAAATAAACATTACTTTAAAGAGCATGTAGAAAGCCAACATGGCGATCCCTCGCATAGAAAAAAATACAAATGTCCACAATGCGACCAAATATTTTCTAGTATATTTAGTAAGAACAGGCATGTTCAAATACAACACTCATTGTGTGCTAAATACAGTTGTCCACATTGCCCACAAGCTTTTACAAGGAGTGATAATTTAAAAAAACACGTTCAAATGCAACATAGCGATTCCTTACAACAACAAAAAACAAGACAATTGTCCTCATTGCCCTAGAGCTTACACAGGAAGACGTTATTCAAAAACCACGTTCAAAACCAACATGACGATCCCTTACAAAGAAAACATTACAAATGCCCCCATTGCCCACAGAGGTTCAAAAGAACTTTTAACTCTGGATGACAAAATAGTATTAACTAAACAAAATCTAAATAGGCACATTAAATCAAAACATAAATCAACTTAATTTGTTGAAATAAAAATATTATATGTACCCTGGACTTTTATTTCTACAAACCTTTTCTACAATATGATTTTTAACAGAATTTAATAACTAAAGTTGTTACCAACCTACAGCGTCAAAAATTACGCGCACCATTTGAATTTCACTACAATAATTTATTTACATTTAAGTTCATTCTATTCACAGTACACGTAAGTATGTAATAAATAAATTAGTCCAATTTTGAGCTCTGAACAATAATTTTAAGAACTGAAACAACAAGTTTTTTTATTTAAAAAGCTTGTAGGTAAATCTTGTTTTTTTTTCATTTACTTGAATAAACCTCAGTAGCACATTGAAGTATCTTTTTGGTTTAAAGTTTGATTTCCTATGCAATTGATGGTTTTTGCTGTTAAGTTGTAGGTAAACGGTCGACTTTAGAGAAAAATTAAATACATTTTTATAGGACCAAATTTTAGTCTTCTAATCTAAAATTAATATTTTAAGAGATGTATCATTCAAGTTTGAAAGATAGCAAGTTATTTATTTTGATTTAATCTTTAAATATTTTACAAATTTTAATTGGTATTGGTACCTACCCAGGTACAGTCTCTGTAATTGCCTCTGTATATATCCAAGAAATAAAATTAGTGGAAAAACATTAATATTGTTTAAGACGACTATTTTTTTGTTAAAATTTATAAATTATATTTTACTGGTAAATTAAATTTGTTTTCTTTGTGGAGGTTCGGGGGTTGAACCCCCCCCCAAGGCTCAAAATTGTTAAACAAAAAAGTAAAGAAATATATTTTTAAATTACCAATCTTGCAAACCATGGTTTATTTCTCACCCCTCCATTTTTTCTCCCCTTCCATTGGTTAACCCCCTAGACAAAATTTCTAGGAACGCCAGTGGTTGTAACCATGCATGGTACCATGGTAAAGTTGAAAGGTTTATTCTTCTCACACCCTGTATATTATACAAAATCTTGTTGGCGAAAATAATAGTCCAGAAATAATGTATTAAAAATTTATTTACATAATTACAAATATTTGGTGACTAAATATAAACCAATTTTACAAAATACAAATTTATTATTAAATAATTTGGTAGCAAACAGGATACACATGTGTGTGTATCACATATGTGTGTGTATCCTGGTAGCAAATTATTTTAAAACACTAATTAATAATCTGCCATTATCGCGCAATTTTCATTGGGAGAAAAAATAAAGGACACAATAAAAAGTGAGGTTAGATCATTCAACAGATTTTATTAAGTATAACAGGGGATTCTTGCTCCATGGAAACAGTTTGAAATATAAGTGACTTGTGACCCTGGGGGGACAAAATGGGAATCCCTTTATAATCTGTGAATCCCAGCACAAAAGAAAAGTGAACAAATTAATAGATTTTTAAGAAGAATTATGTGAATGATTGTGACAAAACGTATTTGGAAAGATGGGGAATAAATTAATTAAGAAATAGAAAATTAATGAAGAAATAAAAGAATGAAAAAATAAATTAAGTGTAAAAAAGTGACAGTGGTAAAAAACAGAGAAAATAATTTTAAAGAATATTATAATCAATAAGAAAATATTATATAGGTAAATGATTTAAGGGATCAGTTAAACTAAGATTCTCTTGATTAAGACCCTTGTTATCCTAAACCAAACTAATAGATGACTATCTTAAAGAGTATATAGTTTGGAGCCAAATGAAGCGCCCTCTCTGAACTTGGCTAAAAATTAAATTACGTGTTTACAGGCAACTGTTGCCAACATAGCTTTTAATTGGTGGAAAATCAACGTATTTGATTGGTTACTTCAATGGCGCTATATTTAAAATCTAACTTGTGGCTAGATTTTAAATGTAATTAGTAAAGAAAACAATAACTTTGTTTTCTACCATGTAGTTAAGGTACTTCTGTGGTTATGCTGTTTAGTATTTCTCAAGCAACTTTTATAAACTAAAGAAATTCGCAGATTTATGGAAAAGCAATGAGGAAAACAAATGTATGTAAATGTAAAAAAAGTGTATTTAGTATTCATTTGTAAAATCTGTGATTTTTTTAATTTGTAAAACTCGTTGAAGTACCATTCATATATGGTAAGAAACATTGTTTTTGTTATTTATGATAGTCTACCAAAAGTAACTGTCTCATTAATCATTATTTTGAAATTGAAGAATACTGTTAATTCCATAAATTTTGTTAAATAATACATGCCTACCATCTGAAAGATTATGATTCGGTCAAAGTGTCGTTTATAAATTATTATTATAATACAAACCTTAGAAACAATACACAATAAAAACACACAAATACACAAAACCTTACAAAAATGCGATAACTATGGATATAATTGAACGTCAAAAAGGTCAAAAACGTTAAAAAATTATAAAATCTCTTGGCTTGGCTAAATATTATAATACTGTCCCGACATAAGATATTTATCTATTGGTTTGGTCTAGGCTTGTTATTATGATATATTGACATTTGAATTGAAACATAATGAGCTGGACAAATAGCTTTGAAGTAAGATGTGTTCATATTAGAGATGTAAAAAACGGTTTGTTTTTCAGATCTGAAAAAACTAAAAAAAACATTTTTTTTTCAAAATGAAATTTTGAGTAAAATTTTTTTTTCGTTACGAGGAAAGTCCATGTTGCTTTTGAACGTGGACTCTTAAACCATCAGTTCTTTTGAACTCTTGTGGACAATGCGGACGATGTGTCTTGTTTTTTTATGCAGGCTCAAACTGCTACTTTTTGAAAATTTTTTGTCGCATTGCGAACATTTGTATTCATGTTTAGCGTGCGCGGTTCGAGCGTGGAGATCGCGCTTTGCCTTGTCGGTGAACATTTTCGAGCAGTGCGCGCAACGGAATTTGAAACCTTCGTGTATCGATTTAACGTGTATTTTCAGACTTCCCATAAGCGAAAATGTCTTGTCGCATTGCGAACAGTTGTATTTTTCTTTCTGCGAGGCGTCGCCATGTTGGCTTTCGACGTGCTGCTTAAAACTATATTGTTTCTTGAACACTTTCGGGCAATGTGGACACGCGTACTTGGAACCTTTGTGCTCCATTTTGGTGTGTCGGGTTAAAGATTCCATTTCTGTGAATTTTTCGTCGCATTGTGCACATTTGTACTCCAATGTTTGCACTAGATCGCCGTGTTTAATTTCAATGTGCCGCGTTAGCTTACACTTTTTCGTGAACTTATTCGGGCAATGCGGGCAATTGACCTTGCGGCCGTCGTTGTTCGATCTGATGTGCACGTTTTTCAGCCACACGTTTAGGAATACTTTGTCGCAATGTGGACACGTGAACTTTTTTTTTTGCTTGGAGTCGCCGTGTTGGCTTTCGATGTGAACTCTTAAAGTATCTTTTCTTGAGTACACTTTCGGGCAATGCGGGCAACGGCTTTTGATGCATCTTGCGTCTTCCCTAAAACAAAAAAGCGGCTCGAAATGCGCAGAGACGAAAATCATTCTAGGACTACTCGTTGCGCTATAATTATTATTAAAAACCATCACACACAGCAAACGGAAAAATATAGAAGTGTATTGGATGACGCCACGTTTGAATAGTTTTCTAAACCCTCGCCACGTATAGAGTTGTATTCGTCAGTCGAGCGTTTCAATACTCTCCACAGTATAGAGGTCGTAATTTGACTTTTAAACAAGTATTAATATGAACATTATTTTATGCTTGAAAAAAAACCTAAATACGACATAATTGTGTTTTTTTTCATTTTATTAATTAATTAAGCTGTGTTGAATATTTTTCCTAAAGGAATAATTGCCATTAATTCATTTGTTCGTAGGTGCCATCATAACCTGCACTATTGTGTACTTTTTAATCAACCAGATTTAAATATTGCTGTACTAACATTTACCAATAGAAATAGTGCAGGGTCTACCAACAGACCTCATTATTAAAGTTTAATAGCATATCGACCGTTTTTTCAACATAACCTCTGAAATTTGTAATAGAAATATAGGTACTTTATATAATACATAAATATACTTTACATCATATCCTCTATGCTTTACATACCTGAGTTGTTACGGTAAATACAAATCAAACAAAGGAACCAAAGAAAGGAACTATTTTCAACAAAATCATATGCAGAAATGAGAAAATTCAAACTACTTGCATCCATCAAAAGATCAAAACTTCTTGCAATATTGAATTACACGCTTTTTTATACTCTCAAAAATATTGACTAGAACAGTATTAGAGAGACTCCAGTTTCTATAACTTGGTAGAGTAAAGAGAAGTCGAAACCGTTGCGATATTGCATTGTGCTGTTTTTGTATAATTCTCGGGGACATTAACGAAAATAATTGCCAGTAAAATTCGAAAAGCTTGAGTTTCTATGTCTTTAAAGAGAATAAGAATCCGTTGCTGCACCATTGGACTGCCCCCTTTTTCAATAATTTCTAGAGACATAAATCGAAAGGGTCGAGTTTCTACCTCTCTGTTCAATATAGAAAATCAAAATAATGTATCTTGTAAGACACCATTGAGTTTGACTTTAACTATAGAGGCAAAAAATATAAAAACAAAGCACGATTCAATACAGTTCTGATAAAACTAAGATTTAGTATTCAAATGGGGAGTCATCCTATACACTTCTATATTTTTTCGTTTGCTGTCAAAAATATGCTCTACTGTTAATGATAATAATTATTATTAAAAACTTTGCGAATAGTCCTAGAACTTTCGGGCAATGTGGACATGCGTACTTGGAACGTTGGTGTTTCATTTTGGTGTGTCGGGTTAAAGATCCTTTTAATGCGAATTTTTTGTCGCATTGTGCACATTTGTACCCTAATGTTTGCGAGAGTTCGCCATGTTTTATCTCGATGTGTCGCGTTAGCTGACACTTTTTCGTGAACTTATTCGGGCAATGCGGGCAATTGACCTCACAGCCGTCGTTGTTCGATCTGATGTGCGCGTTTTTCAGCCAAACGGTTACGAATATTTTGTCGCAATGTGGACACGTGTATTTTTTTTTTACCTCGGAGTCGCCGTGTTGGGTTTCGAAGTGATCTCTTAAAGTATCTTTTCTTGAGTACACTTTCGGGCAAAGCGGACAACGGCTTTTGAGGCCGTCGGATTTGTCGTCTTTTAACGATTCCCTAAAACAAAAAAGCGGCTGTGTTTGCTGGGTATTAAAAACCTTGTAAATAGTCCTAGAACTGCTTTGTCAAAAATATTCTCTACTCACCATTGTTTGCTGTCCCATTTAGCTAAATGGGCAAAAGGACAGAAAAAATGTTTAGATTATAAAACTCACCTTTTTCTCTTTCTGGAAGGGCTGGTATTATTTCTGTTTTCTTTTTCTTTAACTTCATCTGCGTCCCTACAAGAAAATTAAGTTAATTCACAGGGTGTTTCTATGATACACCAAAACTTACTCTGATTCATCGTCATCATCATATTTAACCCCGTGGTATTCCACTTCGATTTTCGTCTCAAACGTGGCTTTATTCTCATCTTTTTCTTCATCTTCACTGCGTATGGAATTTTTATCATCTTCTTTAGAAAAATCACTATCCCTTCCTTCTTTCTTTATATTGCATAAAGAATTTTCACTTTCATTTCCAGGATCAGAATCGTCACTTTCATCGTCACTATCGTTGATTTTAGATCTAAAATTATATTTAAATATAATTGTGACCATAGGTTCTAAGCTCAAATATTTAAATTTTGTGACCTCGAATTTTGCTGCCAGAGAAAATTTTCTTAAATATTTGACCATAAAATTGCAAATTTAAAATATCCAGAGAAAAATTTTGCGCATCTTATCCTTATAAATTATGATGGGACTTAAATTTTTACTGCAATTTAACTGCAGTTACAAGGATAGGGACGTTGAAAGAAAAACACTTCTGATACAATTAAATAAAAAACAAAATGTTTCTTACTGACCCTGATTTAAATATTTCTGTACCAACATTTTTGCCATACATGGGTCTTTTATGGTAAAATATACAAATATTAGCCTAAAAGGGGCCATTGCAAGACCTTATCATGATATCCTTTTATAAAAATTAATATAATCACTTATGTGTTTGCTGGGTATTAAAAACCTTGTGAATAGTCCTAGAACTGATTTGTCAAAAATATTCTCTACTCACCATTGTTTGCAGTAAAATTTAGCTAAATAGGCAAAAGGACAGAAAAAATGTTTAAATTATAAAACTCACCTTTTTGTCTTTCTAGAAGGGCTGGTATTATTTCTGTTTTCTTTTTCTTTAAATTCATCTGTGTCCCTACAAGAAAAATAAGTTAATTTACAGGGTGTTTCTATGATACACCAAAACTAACTCTGATTCATTTTCATCATCATATTTAACCCCGTGGTATTCCACTTCGATTTTCGTCTCAAACGTGGCTTTATTCTCATCTTTTTCTTCATCTTCACTGTGTATGGAATTTTTATCATCTTCTTCAGAAAAATCACTATCCCTTCCTTCTTCCTTTATATTGCATAAGGAATTTTCACTTTCATTTCCAGGATCAGAATCGTCACTTTCGTGGATTTTAGATCTAAAATTATGTTTAAATTTCATTGTGGCCATAGGTTCAAAGCTCAAATATTTAAATTTTGTGACCTCGAATTTTGTTCCCCGAGAAAACTTTCTTAAATATTTGACCATAAAATTGCAAATTTAAATTATCCAGAGGAAAATTTTACGCATCTTATCCTTATAAATTATGATGGTACTTAAATTTTTACTATAGTTACAAGGATAGGGACGTTGAAAGAAAATACTTCTGATAGAATTAAATAAAAAACAAAATGTTTCTTACTGACCCTGATTTAATTCGTCGATTATATTTGTTTCCTTTAACTTCATCTTCAGGAGTGTATGATGAATCTTCATCGGCAGAAAAGTCACATTCTTCATCGCTACTATCATCAACTCTAAAATTATGAGTTGGTAAAATTAAATATCTAGATTATGTTACAAAAAAGTGATGTAATGTTTAAAAAATAGTTTTTTATTTTATAAAGTTGTTAATATATTGTGCAAAACTTTTTAAAAACTCAATTGTGATAAATTATAATTAGTTATAAAGCTCAACCACATTTTTCAAATTTAGGTAGGTATATAAATTTTTTTGTAAAAAACATAATTCCACTTAATTTTTGCAAATAATAATAAAAAAAAGAATGGTTTTAGTTTGGTCTGATAATATCAAAATTTATTAAGTTTCAAACAAAATTGACTCACATTGGGACAATTTTATTTCTACTTCTTGTGGATTTTCTAACTTCATGATTTTTTACTTTACTTTTTGAATTCTCTTTGGTTTTTTCCTCATTTTCAGATGTAGATAAACTTTCATCTACATTGGTACCTGTTGCTTCATTTTTGTTATAACTTTCTTCAACTGCAGTCCTGAAATTGAATTAATACAGTATGTGGTGAATAAGGTTTGAAACCTTGAAAAATAAAAACACATTACATTTTTTTTACTTAAATTAACCATTATGTTCACCATTTACAAGACGTTATCTTAAAACATAAAATTTAGCTTAATATTGAAACTAGTGGAACAATATGTTTAATGTTCAACTGGTGCAACATTTTTAACCTCACTTTTTTTTTAATTTTAACACAGTGACTAGAGGCACGCTAACGTACCGCTATTGAAAATATTAAAGGCACGTTAGTTACGTCATAATTATAATCCGTTTTTGTTCACCGAGCTTTCAATATTTGACATCAAGCTAGATAGCTTATATAGTAGGGAATTCGCTTGGCATGCGAGAGGTCCCGGGTTCGATACTTAGAAGCTGTCGAATTTTTTTTATTTTTTTATTTCATAAATTTGTTGTTTCTTTGTTAAACAGTGTTCGGTTGGGTTGGGTTGGTTGGTTTGTTTTAGTTTTATCTTAACATAAAATCTACTAGAAGTTGTTGAACTTTTTTTATTTCATAAATTTGTTGTTCCTTTGTTAAAGTGTTTTATTTTTATCGTAACATAAATTTGCCCATTTTAGTTGGGTTTTTTAATCAATGGGGCGGGGGGGCCAATGGGGCGGGGTCGGTTGGGTTGTGTTGTTGAGTTTGGGGTGGTTTGAGTTTATGACGTAACTAACGTGCCTTTAACATTTCAAATCGCGGCACGTTAACGTGCCTCTAGTCACAGCGTAATTTTAAATCTAAAATACTTACTCAACCCGACAATGTTTTCTACATTCTTTAATATTTCCTTTAATATTATTTGGTTGGTTTTCCTTTTCTACATCCTTCGAGTCTATGAGGTAAATACTATCCTCGGTGACAAAGTCATCAAAGAAATGTACCTCGTCCTCTTCCATGGGATTATTTACTGTAAAAAAATTAAAACATAAACGAACAATTATTGCCATATACTTACAATGATTGGTCAACATTACTCAAAGAAATTTGTAACATGTTAAAATACAACAAACTTTGACCTCAACATTTCCGTACATTACCATTGATGTGTGATTCAATTTTAATATCTATGATTTCTATCCACTAAAACAATTTTACATCACAAAATAATCACCAAAACAAAAAAACAACAGAATTTGACCCAACAGCTGTTCGCATAAAAGAGGGATGGCAACACTTCTTTATCTCTGGCAACCCTTGCCTCTGCTGGCAACACTGATTAAATTTTAATGTTTGTTTGTTTATTTGAATTTTAAGGTTAGAATAGTTGTTTGTTTGAATTTTTTTGGAAGGAGGTATTTTATTTGTTAACACGATTTTACAGTAATAAAATGAAAAATACCTCATATTACATTAATTATGTAAAAGTCATCCTTAATAATTAAATTTTTACAGTAAATAATACAATGAAAGAGGAAGATTTACATTTCTTTGATGACTTTGTCACTGAAGACAGTATTTACTTCATAGATTCTGAGAATGTAAGAAATGAAAACCAAACACTTTTAGACAGCCGAATTACCTTTGAAAAAGTAAAAAAACCTGTTGAACCAAAAAATATTGAAGGAAATAATAATAAAGAATGCAGAAAAGATTCTTGGATTAAGTAAGTATTTTGAATTAAAAAATGCATAACTTTGTTCCTATTATTACAAAATATTTATAAAAAGGTATGGTTTTGAAATATTAAAGTATTAAAATAAAAGGATTTTAGTAAAAACCCTAAAATGCATTAGGCCAAATTTAATTTTAAAAACGTTATAACTCAATTACTACTCAACAAAAAATATGTTTATAATATTTGTTGAGTTTACCTAGGTATCATCAAATATATTTTTGAATAAATTACTGCCAATTTCACCTATTTTTAAGATATTTTTATAAATATAAAGATATTGCAATTTTTTTATAGTTCCGCCCTCTAGCGGTTCATTTATTATTATTTTATTTCAAAAATAAAATAGTGCTCAACCTAATTTAGGTTAAAACCCAAATTTTATCTTAGTCAGATTTACTTTCAAGTAAATTACTTTAAATACAAATTTGATCATTGATTTTCTGTAATTTAGGAACCACTGATGTTTTAATAAAATTGGAATTTGGAGAACATTTATTTGGGTTTTATTTGTTGTGCTTTACTGTGTTTTTTTAATTTTTAAATGAATTTATTTTTGTTTTTAATAATATTTAGCTTCCCTGGTGACATTTCCACCTGTTAAAGTTACCGCAACGTATCACCCTGTATAAATCCAATTTCAGGACTGCAGTTGAGGAAAGTTATAACGAAAATGAAGCAACAGATATAGACGACGAAGATTCATCCACGTCTGAAAATAAGGAAAAAAATAAAAAAAAACCAAAAACTAAAGTCAATAATCATAAAGTTAGAAGATCCTCAAGAAGTACAATAAAAATTGTCCCAGTGTGATTCGTTTTTATCTAACTTTTATTAAATTTTAAACTAGGTATTGTCAGACCAAACAAAACTATATTTTTTTATGCTTTTTAAACACTATTTTAAACAACTTTTTTGTAACATAAGCTAGATATCAAATTATACCTAATAATTTTAGAGTTGATGATAGTAGCGATGAAGAGCGTGACTTTTCTGCCGATGAAGATTCATCATACACTCCTGAAGATGAAGAAGTTAAAGGGGATAAATATAAACGACGAATTAAATCAGGGTCAGTAAAAAATGTTGGTAAAAATTTAAGTCCCATCATAATTTATGAGGATAAGATGCGCAACAACTATAGTGATGAAGAAAGTGACAATTCTGATCCTGAAGAAGAAAGTGAAAAAACCTCATACAATATGAAGAAAGAAATAAGAGATAGTGACTTTTCTGAAGAAGATTATACAAATTCCTCACATACTGAAGATGAAGCCATGTTTGAGACAAAAATAGAAGTGAAATATCATGGGGTTAAATTTGTGTTCTCTAGGCCCCGGAAATGTTAAATTATTTTTTTTCACTAAGTGACCTTTTAAATACACTTTGACAAGTTGTGGCTTTATGGCGCTTTAGTCACGGGCTGAAGTTAGCAACAGGTTTTTAGTCACGGGCTGAAGTTAGTTTAAAGTTAGTTGACAGTTGTCAAATGTCATACAATCGTTAAAATAAAGTGCCTTTCTTGTAAAATAATACCAAATGTGAAAATTATTTTATTTTCTCAATACAAAAATACAAAAATATTAAATAGTTTCTCAACGCCAATATTTTAAAAGTTTATATGAACATTGTACTGACCTTTTAATTTCGCCGGCAGTAAACTATAACTTAAATTCGGGCACGGACTCTACTGTAAAGTCCTCATAAAACATTTTCTTTACTTTCACTGTAAAAAACTGTAAATTTTCAAGAAATACATTTCGATTTATAACCTTTATAATTGTGTTTATAAAATGTAAAAATGTGACATTTGACGGTGACACACAGATTCCCCTATTGTTTCATAGATGGCGTTCTATACAAATTTTTGATTTAAATCATTTAAAGATATTAATAAGTATTTGTCGTAGAAAAAGTATAGTATGCACCTCGTTTATAAAATTTTCTATACACTCATTAATTTAAACACTGCCTAAATTAAATTCGTGTATAAAATGGCGTTTATCAAACTTGATACATAATACACTATTATACCATAATATGTGGTGTATTTTATGTCATTTTAAATAACATAATATATGTAATTTTAAATAACATAATATAACTAGCTTCTAGTGAGTAAATAATAAATAACATTTGTGTGATTTTTGAGCTTGTTTTTATTTTAGGGAAATATTAAAAGGCCGTTGTCCAAGAGAGTTTAAAAGAACAGGTCATTTAAAACGGCAAAGAAAGAAATACAACTGTCCACTGTGCGACGAAACATTCTCGACTAGGATAAGTAGAGGCGCGCATATGAAAAAAAAACACGACATTATACAAAGAAAAAAATACAAATGTTCAAATTGTGACAAAATATTCCCACGCCAATATCATTTAAACCAGCATTTTCAAACAAAACACAACGATTTTAAATATACGTGTCCACATTGCCCGAAAGAGCACAAACATGAATATTTATTAAAAAAGCACGTTGAAAGCAAACATCTACATTCATTGTGTGCTAAATACAGTTGTCCACATTGCCCACAAGCTTTTACAAGGAGTGATAATTTAAAAAAACACGTTCAAAACCAACATGGAAAACCAGGAAAAAAATACAAATGTCCGCATTGCCCAAACAGGTTCAAAAGAAGTGATAACTTAAAACGCCATATTAAAAACCTACATGGCGATCCCTTACAAAGAAAAAATCATGAATGTCCACTTTGCGACAAAATAGTATTAAACAAACATAACCTAAATAAGCACATTAAATCAAAACATAAATCAACTTAATTTGTTGAAATAAAATTATTATATGTACCGTGGACTTTTATTTCTTCAAACCTTTTCTTATACAATATCATTTTTAACAGAATTTAATAATAATCTGCTTCATTCTTCAATACCAACTATAGTTTATTCTGTATATTATACAAAATCTTGTTGGCAAAAATAATAGTCTAGAAATAATGTATTAAACATTTATTTACATAATTACAAATATTTGGTGACTAAATAGTAAAATATCGCATGTATCTTAATTTAAATTACATAAAACAATTCTACAAAATCCAAATTTATTATTAATTAATTTGGTAACAAATTCAATTGCACAGCTAAATATTATTTGTGTTTCGGGTTGCAAGTAAAAACCAAAAAACTTAGTACTCGATTTCGATTTATTTAGCTAAATAGGCAAAAGGACAGAAGAAATGTTTAAATTATAAAACTCACCTTTTTCTCTTTCTGGAAGGGCTGGTATTCTTTTTGTTTTCCTTTTTTTTTAAATTCATCTACGTCCCAAAAAAAATAAGTTAATTTACAGGGTGTTTCTATAATACACCAAAACTAACTCTTATTCATATTCATCATCATATTCAACCCCATGATATTCCACCTCGATTTTCGTCTCAAACGTGGCTTCATTTTCATCTCTTTCTTTATCTTCACTGTGTATGGAATTTTTATCATCTTCAGAAAAGTGACTATCCCCTCCCTCTTCCTTTATATTGCATAAGGAATTTTCACTTTTATTTCCGGGATCAAAATCGTCACTTTCATCATCACTATCGTTGATTTTAGATCTAAAATTATGTTTAAATTTAATTGTGGCCATAGGTTCCAAGCTCAAATATTAAAATTTTGTAACCTCGAATTTTGTTGCCAGAAAAAACTTTCTTGAATATTTGACCATAAAATTGCAAATTTAAAATACCCAGAGGAAAATTTTTTCGCATCATATCCTTATAAATTATGATGGGACTTAAATTTTTACTACAATTTAACTGCAGTTACAAGGGTAGGAAAGTTAAAAGAAAAACACTTCTGATACAATTAAATAAAAAACAAAATAATAAATATTTAAAGTTTAAATATTTTCTGTTGTTTTTAACTTTACCAAGAATTTTTTTTTCTGAATAACTCACCCTGATTCATCTTCATCTTCATACTTAATCCTGTGATCATTCATTGAATTAAACTCAAACATGGCTTCATCCTTATCTCTTACTTTATCTTCATAACATAGGAAATTTTTATCATCTTCTTCAGAAAAATCACTATCCCTTACTTCTTCCTTAATTTTGCATGAGGTTTTTTCACATTCATCTCCACAATCTTTTTCTTCATCTTCATTATGTAGGAACTTTTTAACATCTACAAAAAAGTCACTATCCCTTCTTTCTTCCTTAATTTTGCATGGGTTTTTTCCACATTCATCTCCAGGATCTGAATTGTCAGTTTCTTTATTACTATTGTTGATTTTAGATCTAAAATTATGTATTTAGCCTAAAAACGAATATTTATAAACATTATATAAAATTTATATAATGTTTATAAATATTCGTTTAATATATTTATAAATATTCGTTTTTTACACATACTTTTGTTATACAATTAGCAAATAGTTGTAACACCACTAAAACTCATTGGAAAGTGTTTTCTTAACCACCCCAAACATTTAAAATTAAAATGCTAAATATATGGTTTCAAAAGTTTCACGGATTTTAACGACAAAATCGAAAGGCCTGCCGCAAAAATTAAACATTAATTGGAAAAATTTCTTAACAGCCTTAATTGAAACTCACTCAATTAATAAAAGAAGATATTTAAAATAATCTGCTTAAAATTGGGGTTATAACCTAAATTAGGTTAAGCTACATTGTATTTTTGAAAAAATAATAATTAATAAATTAACCACTAGAGGGCTGATTAGCAACAATAAAAATAATGTTCATGGTTTTCACTGACTTACCAATACATTATTTGAAAATAGTTGAAAACCATACTGTTGTATAATGTTTTGTAATAAAAATAAAATTATGCATTTTTAAATCTAAAACACTTACCCAACCCAACAATCATTTCCAAGTCCTTCATTATAATTTTCTTCAATATTTTTTGGTTTGATAGAACTCTGCACTTTTTCAAAGGTAATTTGAGTGTCTAAAAGTGATTGGTTTTCCTTTTTTACACCTTCAGAGTTTATGAGGTAATTACTGTCATCAAATAAATGTACCTTGTCCTCTTCCATGGGATTAGGTGCTGTAAAAAATTAAATTAAAAGATTTCTTTATAAGGTGCACCTATTATTTGAGATTTTTTTTCCAATTTTGTAATACCATCTTTTTTGTTTAATTCAATTGACCTTGTAGCTTTTCAAATAAAATGATACCCCTCCACATTTTCATATTTAATAGGAAGTTATGAATGTTTTTTTACCAAAATTGTTTTTAGACTGTAAAAACAATAATTTAAATGATACCCAAATGAAGAAGCCAACTTGAGAAATAAAGGACACCCTGATTACTTACATTTATAATTCTCGCTTAGATTTTCATCAATTTTTTTACGCTTTTTCACAACTGAACACTGTTTAATAACTCTCCTTCTCTTTTTGACCTCTAGAGGACATCCTGGGAATATAGTGGGCATTGCATTGTCAGACAATCTAGGGATTTTCAAGGGGTACTGAAATTTTTTAATTTATAATTTTATCATTTTAATTTTCCAAAATATAAAAAAGTTTAATTTAAAAATAAATAATATGTAGGTATATTATACATATTATGTGTAAATTAAAATATCCACCTAATAATACAATAAATATATTATAAATAATATCTAATATTTTACATAATATTGTGACAAAGCAATTTATTTTAATTTTTATCATGATAGGTACTTAATACAAAATAATTTTACCTACCTATTCTACTGGATACTTACCGTATACAGTTTATTTTTCACTTCTCTAATTATAAATTGTTTATCAAAATGTTTTTCACAAATAAAATCTTTCGTCGAAAGAAGTCTGTCTTTACGCGCTATTTTCTTTTGCCACAAAATTAATCTGTCCTCTGGAACTTTAAACAGAGACACTTTCTCCAAACAACTTTTATACCCACTATTACACATAGGCACAAAACAAGTCTTCACCATTGTAATAATAAAATAGTCTCGGACACAATAAATAATATTAATGTAAAACAATTTAAAATCTCAATTAACCAAAACAATAATAAAGTTCTTCTGCTGCGTACATAATGGTCTTTCCAGTGTTCCCAACACAAATTATTAAGGTTGCCAACAGTATATTGATATTTTTTCCCCCTACAACAAAATTCTCCGAATATCAGTCAAATTCGCCGCGTCCTACAATCAAAATTTAATGTTTAACATATTTCGCTCTAATTGGATTAGGAAACCAAGGAAAGAAGATCATCAATGAAAATTCACCGCAGAGCAAAATCCGGAGAATTGTCCATTGTTTATCTCTGACCTGTAGGCAACACTGGTTCTGGAACAGCTGTTCACATAAAAGAGTGTTGGCAACACCCTAAACAACACTATAGTGTAAGCAAATATTTAGAGATATGTGAGTCTTTTATCTATGATAGTGTAGGTATAAATGTTCTGTGCAAGTGATGTTGATGTTTATCTCTTTAAATAAAGCATATTAAATTTTGTTACATGTTTAGTAAAGTAAATATCCTATGGCAGAGAATGAGGTACATTTATTTGATGTGGAAAAGGAAAATCAATCACTTTTAGACACTTTTGAAAAAGTACAAAGTTTCGTTGAACAAGAAATCATTGAAGGAAATAATAATGGAGAGTGTAGAAAAGATTGTTTTGTTAAGTAAGTATTTATATACCCTAAAGCCACACTGTAGGTAAACAGGAGTAATTCCCGATTCACTTAAGCGTTTTCCATTCGTAAACTCGTGCAGAATGGTGCATTTTTTTGTTCCATTCATAAAAGTGGTGTTTTAGTGTTAAACATAATTTAAGATCTAAAATCAACGATAGTGATGAAGAAAGTGACGATTCTGATCCTGGAGATGAAAGTGAAAAAACTTCATGCAATATTAAGAAAGAAATAAGGGATAGTGACTTTTCTGAAGAAGATTATACAAATTCCTCACATTATGAAGATGAAGTCATGTTTGAGACGAAAATAGAAGTGGAATATCATGGGGTTGAATATGGTAATAAAGATAAATCAGGGTGAGTTATTTTTTATACAGGGCGATCTTCATGCCCTGGAAATGTTAAATTATTTTTCTTGTAGGGATGCCAATGAATTTATAAAAAAAGAAAACATAGAGAATACCAGCCCTTCCAGAAAAAGGTGAGTTTTATAATTTAAGCATTTTTACTGTACTTTTGCACAACAAGTTAAACATGGTGATTAGAAAATATTTATATATATGTATTGGTAGGTATAATGGGCATGACAAAATTTCCAAATGAAGTAGTATATGCAAAAATAAAAATTCCAAACATAACCAAATTCTTTGACAGTTTTAATCTTTTTACTTGTTATAAAACCATTAAGAGCATATTTTAGTATGAAGTTAATAAACATATTTTTATCTCGAATTTAAAACGATTCAAATACTTTGAAGAATATTGAACATAGCCTAGAAACGTGCTAGGAACAGATGTTGAATTCATTCGTAATTCTTGACACATCTGTTATAACATCGTGAACGCGCGTTCTCAAAAATTGTTTGAGGAACGTAGGAAAACATTTTTAACAACAAACTCGTATGCGTTTGCGTTAAAGGGGGAAAGCGCCAGGGGGAGAAACAAGAGTATGGCCTTTTGCCCTTTAGACCGCCAAGAATAACATATATATCTAAAACACGGGCAGTTCTGAATTTTTTCGACTTGCTATGCTCCACACACAAAAGTCCCACCTTGAAATGTGAATAAAAATAATTGAGGTTATCTGTCTGTCAGTTTTACGCTAATTTCGTCTTACTTTCTAAAAAAAAATACGCCAAATTTTTAGTAAAAATATAAATTTGTCTGGAATATTTTTTATATTAATTATGTGGTGTATACTTCATTTTATGTAGGTAAATAGTGAGTAAAAATAACAAAAACATTTCCATCTTTTTTTGCTTGTTTTTGTTTTAGTGAAATAATAAAAGGTGACAAATCCAATGGCGTTAAAAACCGTTGTCCGCAGTGCCTAAAAGAGTTCACAAGAAAAGCTAATTTAAAACATCACCTTAAAAGCCAACATGGCGACCCCTTGCAAAGAAAAAAATACAAATGTCCACAGTGCCCAAAAGCTTACACAGAAGCTCGTTATTTAAAAAAACACGTGTCACGTTGTAATATAAAATACAATGGTTTTGAACACACGTGTCCACATTGCCCGAAAGTGTACATAAATAAACATCAATTTAAACAGCATGTAGAAAGCCAACATGGCGATCCCTCGCATAGAAAAAAGTACAAATGTCCACAATGCGACGTAATGTTTTCTAGTATATTTAGTAAGAGCAGGCATGTTCAAATACAACACTCATTGTGTGCTAAATACAGTTGTCTGCATTGCCCAAAAGCTTTCACAAGGAGTGAACATTTAAAAAGCCACGTTCGAATTAAACATGGCGATCCTTTGGAACGAAAAAAATACAAATGTCCACATTGCCCAAAAGCTTACACATATAATCATAATTTAAAAAAACACGTTCAACGTTGTCACAAATTAATTTGTTGAAATAAAAATATAATATGTATTCTGGACTTTTATTACCTACTACAAACCTATTCTTATATAATATGATTTTAATAACAAAACTTAAGTTTGCTAAAAAAGAAAACACTGTTTTTGTGTTATAAGGCTTATCCCAACTAGCATTTATGGTGGCAGATACGTAACTGCTACTATCAAAGCCACTACAAAGGGGGCGGTGACCATCGGCGGCTACGTTGTATATTCGTAGCTGCTAAGTAACTGCGACCAAAATGGGGAAAGATTTTGAGTACCCGGGTAGTGTCTTGGGTAGTTTTTGCCACTAAAAGAGTTACTACGATATGTTACTATAAAGTAGCCTACTGGTGAATGCGACTTATTTGTTACGAAGCTGCCTAGTCGCGGGGTCGTGGCAGCCTAGTGTTTTCCTCCGACAGGTAGACCTTTCTTTAAACTATTAAACTTTATTCGCAGCGACCTCTTCATGTAATATCACACTTCCTAAAATAAATGTCATGATGGAAAGTAATTATGGAAGCCATTATTATTTTTTTGTTATTTACCATGCGATTTTAACGCCTTTTGTGGGTCAATTCCAAAACGCAATCGACTTTACTGAATAAAATAGTGGGTTTATATGACAAAATTTTCGAGCGCCTTTCAAAACATTTCAAATTATTATATTATTTGCAATAGAAACTCATGTAGTAATTAAAAAAAAAATTAATTTGCTCGAAACTGGCGTGAAACTTTAAAATATTAGTCCACCGTCACAAATAACAAAATATCTAAGAAAAAAATCTTTAGTTTAGGTATATTTAGCTTAAAAACGCAAAATGTTTGAGCCATTTGGTTGTTCGTCTATAAAGTCATGAAAAAAATATGGCCGTTTAATCCGAAAAATACTTTATAGTTCCATATGCTTCCACAAATTACCGGGAACAATAATATATTAGGCCAACCCTACCCGTTTGGAACTTTAAAATCTTCGGATTGATAAAGTGACAATTGCAACTACCCAGAGACGACTTTATGGAAACAATAACTTTTTGGGAACTACATGGTCCACGATTCTTTGTAACTATAAAGTGATTTTTTCCAAGAAAGTTCCCTGCGCCACTAAATTGCCACTTAATTGCATCGTTTATGCTACACCGATCGCGGCGTGCCACTATAACGTTCCACCTTATCCTTTGAAGTTCCCGTTTGGCGACGCGAGAATCGTATTTTTTGTAAAATGCAAATTGAATATTATCAAACCTAATGTTTTACTGGTTATTGCAATTCTTATGATCACATGACATTTATTTTTAAAAAAATTAATTATTATAAAAAAACAGGACCCACACCGTATATGACGTCACTTCCGTCTCGTGTCGTTTTTTCTAGGTTTATTAATTACTCTCTTAAATCTTGAAACGTTCTCTTCCACTTAATCTTTGAATTTGAAGCCTCGGCTCATTTGACATTTAAGGTATTTCAGTATAGTCAACAAAAGAAATCATATTTATATGTTAACTGCTTATGTTTAAAAATTAATAAATCTTTGTAGTATCACAATATTTTCAACAAATTTATTATACAAAAACAGGACCCACACCGTATATGACGTCACTTCCGTCTCGTGTCGTTTTATCTATGTTTATTAATTACTATCTATCTTAAAACGTTCTCTTCCACTTAATCTTCGAATTTGAATCCACGACTTAAGTAGAGAGCATACAATATTCATTTTTACATAGCCCAAATACCTACAAGTAAGGCAGAATGAATAACATTCATCAGCCCAAGATTTGAACGCTTGACTCAGGTGTAGAAATCAGAACATACATCAACTTTGATTGCAAATACTTCAGGGAAGTATTGATAAACTTGACCCATTAAGAATATTTAGCACCTTGAATTTCTTATATTAAATTCCTATTCATCACAAAATATTTAAAGACTATTAAGGTGAAAACGTTCACGTAAGATAGAATAAATAATATTCATCAGCACCTCGATCAGAACGAGATTTGAACACTTGACTCAGGTATAGAAATCAGAACATGCATCATCTTTGACTGTGAATAGGTACTTCAAACAGCTTCAAAAATGTCACTACCTGATTTATGATGTTCATCAGTAGGATTATAGAAAGATGTAGTTTTTGTTTCTGATGTTGATGCTTCGGCTCGCAGTGATTCCTTTTGTTTAATTCTTTGATAGAAAGTACTAGAATATCTAAATTTCTTTTTATTTACCTTAGGCATTTTACAGAATTTTAATAAAGCTTAAAAGCAAGAAAAGAACACACCAAAACAGAGCAGCACACTATAGTGCATAACATATATGCAATCTGAGGCAATTACATTTATTAGGGTATATTAAGTTATGGTCACTATTAAGTAGCCATTTTTGATCCCCGCGACTTTTTAGTGGCAAAGGATAAGCGACGGCTACTTTATAGTGACCTAGGAAGGTAGCAGTAACCATTTTGTTACTTTCAATGCTACTATAAATTAGAGGTAACCAGGTGTCGTGGCCGCGACTACCCCGTAACTTAAATTGTTACTATAAAGTAACAAAAACTTAATGGAGGCATCATGGTAGCACTTGTTAGTGACCGCTACTTTAAAAAGTTACTATAAAGTTTTTGGTCTTTTATGGTGTCATATTCGAAGATTCAGGTAGTTCCAGCCACTTCTTTAAATTACATGTTTGCCACTTGCAATCAGGGTGTTTATTTTCCACTTTTATGGTAGGTAGGCACTAACCAGTCACTCTCGAAATATACTTCAAAGTGACTATTCCTTATAGAGTAACATTTTAAGTGGCAGGGTGGGTCTAGGAACTATACTTTAGGGGCAGTGACATTTAAAAAGGACTGGGAACTATATTTGCTAATTGGGATCAAAACACGTAAGCAATGTTTACAATATAGGTAAGCAACGTTTACTTCAATTTATTGCAATAAAACACTACGACATACGTTTGGTTTGTGTACACTGTACATGTTGGTTACATAAGGTATAATAACTATAACAATTCTTCGCAACGCATAGGCATATGTTCGACAGTCGAACTAATAAAACAAATATGGCTGATCTTCGAGCTGCTGTTTTATGGTATGTACAGTGTTGCCGGATTAATGTCATAAAGGTTCCCGAACAAAAATTACAAAATACTAAACAAACTAGTTCCCAAACGCATTCCCCTGTTTTGAATAATGAATTAAATTAATTTAAGATTTTTATTTAAGTAAATAAAAATGCAACAGGATAGAATAAAATAATTAGGTATATTTAGTAAATATACAATATTATTTACTGAAAATTTATTTAGTTAGTATTTTGATCGAAATTTGCAAAATATCCGATTTTACCCGCTTCAAAAATTCGACCTCTTTAAAAATGCCCGATTTTCGTGTAAAACACCCGCAAACGGCAACACTGGATACGTAGTGACAGATCACATGACGGTCAGCTGTGCTCTAATTGGTCAGCTGAGAAAAGCGATATTGAGTCTAGAACACACGTGTTGTTGTTTTAAAACCATTGTTTGGAACAATGGTTAGATGAATATTTGCGTATATAAAAAGAAACTATTAAAATAAAACGTACAGTGGCAACAATAAAAGCAAGTCAATCGCATCATAACTGTTTCCGTTTCTACATTAGTGTGCTGTTGAGAATGCCGCACTCTGGTTGGTTTATTGCTTTCCATAGAGATAATTTCTGTAGAAAGTAAAGCTTAAAATTACATTCATGGTTTTCAGTCCTTACAGTCTCCCAAAAAACCTAAAAAAACAGAACTGACAAAAAAACCTAAAAGAGATTTGAATTATGTACTTTATAGTATAAAGTTCATACCAAAAGAACTGATCTTTAAAATATGAAAAGAGTGAGGGCCCTCCTCCTTTATCCGGGCTTGGGACCGGCAGGTTAAAAACACCTGGCGGAGTTACCCTCCACCCTCCTCATCATATTATATACCTAAAATCTCCTAAAACAGATAAAGTATTTAATTAAACAAAAACACGAAAAAAACAAATATACTGATTGTATACATACTCGCATATAAGATTCACTCGCACCCTGAAGTTCCAAGAAGTCCAAGATGTCCACGTCTGGTCCAATCGAAGGAATTAGGGTAATAGGAAGGGTAGAAAAGGAAAACGACAGATAATTAAGTTACAAATAGATTAGCGCCGGTGCGCAACAACATGCTCCACGTTAAAAACGGGTTGGCACGGATTACCGATGTTCCGAGACAAAATCCAGAAAGTACTTTCAAGATCCATCTACCATTTTAATTTAATTCCACAATCTGAAGATTGTGAAATTGAACTAAAATGGGTCTAAATGGAAGGAATAAAAAGGAGCCCAGCAAACACAATAGTCCAGCCATGCAATGGCACATTAATGGGCCATTGCATTATGTAATGGCCCAGTAATGTGCCCTTGCATGGCCGGAATAGTGTGTTTGCTGGGAGGGTTTTATAGGAAACTCCTGGGCGCCTGGTTCCATAGGATAATCACTATCTAAAACAGACTAAAACACACGAAAAGTATTTAAAAAATATGTTCACCTACCCAAAAGCGAACAAAGAATTGGTTTCATCTCCAACTTGAAATTTGACCTGACGAAAAGAATTTAAACAAAATTTTGACCTATGATCCCTACAAAAACGAAGTAAAAGAACAAATCTTTAAAAAAAGAATAAGTTTCATATCCATGGATTGCAACTTAAAAAAAAGTTGCAACTTAAAAAAAACTAATGAAAATTTGACTTACGACCCCTAACAACGAAAACGAAAAACGAACGAAAATAACTTAACTTTAAATAAAGAATTAGTTCCATCTCCAACAAGATTTGCGCTGACAAAAAAAATCTAAAAAAGTTTTGACTTACGACCCCCAACAAAAAAAAAGAACTGATCTTTAAAAAAGAATACGTTCCATATCCAACTTAAAAAAACTAATGACAATTTGACTTACGACCCCTAACAAAAACGAACTAAAAGAACTTAACTTTAAATAAA